GTATTGCTGAAGCCTGGCTTGGAGAATTTTGAGCATTACTTTACTAGCGTGTGAGATGAGTGCAATTGTGCAGTAGTTTGAGCATTCTTTGGGATTGCCTTTCTTTGGGATTGGAGTGAAAACTGACCTTTTCCAGTCCTGTGGCCACTGCTGAGTTTTCCAGATTGGCTGACATATTGAGTGCAGCACTTTCACAGCATCATCTTTCAGGATTTGAAATAGCTCAACTGGAATTCCATCACCTCCACTAGCTTTGTTCATAGTGATGCTTCCTAAGGCCCACTTGACTTCACATTCCAGGTTGTCTGGCTCTAGGTGAGTGATCACACCACCGTGATTATCTGGGTCATGAAGATCTTTTTTGTACAGTTTTTCTGTGTATTCTTGCCACCTCTTCTTAATATCTTCTGCTTCTGTTAGGTCCATACCATTTCTGTCCTTTATTGTGCCCATCTTTGCATGAAATGTTCCCTTGGTATCTCTAATTTTCTTGAAGAGATCTCTAGTCTTTCCCATTCTATTGTTTTCCTCTATTTCTTTGCATTGATCGCTGAGGAAGGCTTTCTTATCTCTCCTTGCTATTCTTTAGAACTCTGATTTCAAATGGGTATATCTTTCCTTTTCTCCTTTGCTTTAGGCTTCCCTTACACAGCTATTTGCAAGGCCTCCTCAGACACTTTAACTTTAAAAACTACTCACTTTAACTTTCTCTTATTTTCTGGGTGACAAATACATAACTGATTCTTTCACACCTTTCAACTGAACTTGATAGGATTGGAAATGAGACATTTCATAGATGCTTGATCATTTCTTTGACTCCTTCTTATTACCTTTTTGGGTTGTTTTTTTTTTTTTTTTGGTGGCAGCTTTTCACACAATACAAAATATAAGGTTAACATCTTACATTAACCCTAAGAATGTAGAAATAACCCTGAGTCTCTATGTATATTAAACACATATGGCAGCATATTTTGGAGAAATCATAATCAACTGTTATAGTTAGGAGAAGGTATGGCTCAAGGGATTCGCCCTCCTATGTTCTGGCTCTAAACATGATTTAGTAAATCAAGTATATCTTTCATCCTGAACTCAATAAGGTAAATTCATATATAACAATTTCATTCAAACATAGCCCACTTATATGTGTAGAGATCTTTAATTCTGGTTAATATCAACCATAGCAGCAACAGGTTAATAGTTTAAATAAACAAAAAATATACTTGTTTAATCTGTTATATTTCAATGTAGAATAAATTAATACATTTATCATAAAACCATTTGAGAAGCATAGGGGTCATATAATTAACTGCATTTTGAATATTCTATAGTAAAACTTACAGAATCATTTTTCTAGTTTCAGTGTTGTGGCCGAAAAAATTACACAGATTGGACCAAGAATAAGAATAAAGAAAATTCAGAACAGGTGCCATGTTCTTGCACAAATTCTACATTAAGAAAGTGGTTTTGTGATGAGCCACTGAATGCAACATACCTACAGGTAAATATAAGCCAAGGCTTCTCCAAGTGTTTACAGTACCCCCCTCCTTTTTTTCTGCAAGTCATTTTAGAATCCTGAGCAAATTGTTGTATTAACAACAATGCCATTCATGGTTATTAGGTTCTTAAGCACCTTGCTAATGAAACCACAGAGAAGTGGGTTATATCACTTACCTAATAAATTCATTTAACTTTCTGGAATATGTGATCTAAGTGTGCCTAGAACTTGGGATTCCATTAAGTCTCTCCTCAGCCATCTTTTGACAGAGGAGATCCTTTTGGCGAATCTCAGTTGTATAGGACTGGTAAAGGAACTGCAGCAGCAGAAATAAAAAGGCATGAGGTTTGGCAAAAACTAAGGGAGGAAATCCGAGATGTGTCAAGGGTGGTGTTCACATTAAGGCAGCAGAAACCATAGTAGAGGTTCATCTGTAGCAACTGCTATTTACAGATATAGGACATGATGAACTGGGGATTTCCATCCCAATAACTTCTAATACTTTGTGTTATTCTAATGTTAATAAAATTAACATTTTTGTTAACCTAATATTTTGTGTTATACTAATACCTTTGTGTAATACTAATACTTTGTGTTAATCTAATACTTTGATGTTATTCTAATTTTAAGATGTTATCTTTCAGTAACATAATTCATTCATAGATAAATGGAGGAGTCTCCATTTAAGGATTCCATTTAATCTCCACTTAAGGAATTTCCATTAAGGAATCTCCCTTTAAGGAGTCTCCATTTGGAGGATTCTCCAAAAAAGGTTCTCTTTGGGAAATATCATGTTAGGCAATAGTATATACCCTGCTGAATTTCAGTAGTGTTCAGAAAATCAAATCCCTCTCAAAACTTAATAAATTTCTGATTTCGACGACCTGACAACATCTTAGCAACTTAAAAAGTAGCAATTGGGTCATCCTGCTATTATATGAAGCTTTCTGGGCTAAAAAGACCAGTCTCCAGTTAGATATTGACTTGCTCTTTAGACTTTGGTAAATTACTAATCTCTTTGTCTCTTCTCTGTAATGGAATTATGTATAAAACCATTTATATCTCCAAGCCAATCTAAGTAAGTTCTTTTCCTTAGGGTTGTGAAAATAAAATCAACACATGGTATCATGCTAATGCTTTGACATTAATTGGAATTAACTTTGGACTTTTGGTTTCAGAGGTAAGTTTTTGTTTATATGTTTAAGTATAAAACAAAATTAAGTATAAAGTATATGGGATACACTGTAGAACAACCGGATGGAGACCTAAGCAGACTAATTAATCCAATAGGAGCCAGGACCTTGAAACTGTTCACACACAAGAGGTCCCAACTGGAGGCAATATCCTTAGATCAGCCTGGGTGGAGCCTGGAAATCGTTGTCATCCAGGACTTCCATGGCGGTTCAGTTGGTTAAGACACCCCACTTCCAATGCTGGGGGCTTGGGTTCAATTCCTGGTTGGGGAACTAAAATCCCACATGGTGTGTGGCATTGTTCAAAAAAATAGAAACATGTATTTTTTTAAACGGCTTTATAAAAAAAAATAACTTGTTCTCCTGGGAGGTAATGATTTCATTTCTTTGTGATTAAAAAAAAAATACTTCATATCTTGGCAGTGAGTTGACCATGATTGGCAGTCTGTACACTGGCAAATTTCTTAAATCTAGGCAGATGTTTGACATTAGTAAATCTATTCAATCATACACTCTTTCATTCATTGCTTCATTCATTCATTCAAGAAATCTGGAAGGGAAAAGAACATCTACCATGTGTCAGGTGCTGTACTAGATGCTGGAGATACAATGGGAAGCAAAATCTACATATTCCTTGATTTCCATTGTGCCAACTGCAAAATCGAGGTTCAGAAATAGTACTTCATTCTCCAGTCCCAGTTGAAGACCAATAAAAGCTAGTGAAGTGTATGAATTCAAAGAAATTGTAAGACTGTATAGATTGTTATTGTGTAGAGTATAACAGAATAAATATATAACATGTGTTTTGGCCAAAATAAGATAGCAAATTTAATTTATGTTGATCCACAAAGAAGTATCAACAACCTCAGATATACAGATGACAACCACGCTAATGGCAGATTGTAAAGAGGAAATAAAGAGCCTCTTGAAGAGGGTGAAAGAAGAGAGTGAAAAAGCTGGCTTAAAACTCAGCATTCAAAAAAACTAAGACCAGGGTAGCCAGTTCCATCTCTTCATGGCAAACAGATGGGGAAAAAGTGGAAGCAGTGACATATTTTCTTACCTTGGGCTCCAAAGTCACTGCAGACAGTCACTGTAGCCATGAAATTTAAAAATGGTTGCTCCCTGGAAGGAAAGCTATGACAAATCTAGACAGAGTATTAAAAAGCAGACATCACTTAGCCAACAAAGTTTTGTATAGTCAAAGGAATGGTTTTTCCAGTAGTTATGTACAGATGTGAGAACTGGACCATAAAGAAGGCTGAATGATGAAGAATTGATGTGTTTGAATTGTGATGCTGGAGAAGACTCTTGAGAATCCCTTGGACAGCAAGGAGATCAAACCAGTCTATTCTAAAGGAAATAAGTCCTGAATATTCATTGGAAGGACTGATGCTGAAGCTCCAATACTTTGGCCACTGGATGTGAAGAGCCAACTTATTGGAAAAGACCCTCATGCTGAAAAAGATTGAGGGCAGGTGGAGAAGAGGGTGACAGAGGATGAGATGGCTGGACAGCATCACCAAGTCCATGGACATGAGTTTGAGGAAGCTCTGGGAGATAGTGAAGGGCAGGGAAACCTGGCATGCAAAGACCAGGACACAACTTAGCAACTGAACAACAACCAGGGCACTCACCTAAAGTTCCTTAAAAGGTTTTCAACTGGTAAGAGTGTTTAGTCTCAGGATGGTGGTAAACAAGACAGTCTTATAAACATTGATACTCTTTTTAAATGTTTATTCTCTATTGTATTCATCCTGAGGCAATTAAGATAAGACTGAATGGGGGATATTATTGTGTTCCAGTTTATCATCTACCCTTTGCAGACCATCTTTCAGGATGAGGCAGTTTTTTGGAAGTGATGACATTAGAAAAATGATGAACACCAAACATCAGCAATATATCACAGCATCTAGCCCAGTGATAGCCCATCTAATTAAAATTGAGCAGTCTATTCCTTCTCCCTCTCTGTAAATGAACTTGGTGACAGCTGGGTTACCCTAGAAGACTTACTCTGCTGACTTCCTATTCACAATGATATATATGTACCTTACTCGGAAATGGTCTCACCCTCCTTCCTCCCTTTTCCCTTTGCAGAATACATTTTGGTGATTACACTGTGTTAACTTTACAAATTATTCTTATTGATTACATTTTGATCTCTTATTGTTTCCCTTTTTTCCAGGTTTTGCAATTCTCATTAACTATTTCTTTCTTCAGACACATCAAGAATAGAATATATGCAGAAAAGTGACCACTGGATTTTAATTTGTCTGGAAGAAACCAGTTAACTCTTAAAATAATCATATTGAATTTTTCTAGTCCAGAAGAAAAGTTTTGAAATACATTCATTGTTTAAGATTTAATTAAGTCAGTGGTTATATGTGACACAGAATTATTGGATATAATATCATTCCATGAAATTTTTATTAATATCAAATTCTATAATTCAGTACTTTGTCATTTTCTGAATTCAGAGGATATCATCGAATATACTAATTTCAATATATGGTAAATTATCATGTATGGTTTGAGTGTCATATGTAGAAAAAGATACCTATATGATGTTCAGAAAATACTGCATAAGCAATTATAACATATACTTTACATTTACAAATTTTAGGTAAATAACAGTGATTTATAGATTTCAAAGAAAGAATGAAAATCTCCATAACACTGATCTCTACACTGAATTAATCTTTTATTTCTCTCTTCTTACAATGCTTAGAAGTGGATAATAAATTTAAAATTTTACAAGTTTGGATATACTTAAGTGGCAATAAGAAAATATTTTTAAAAACATGAATTTTTAAATATAGTAAAACTAATCTACTCTAAATACTCACTGAAGTCTCATATTCATTACCTTCTCATTTTTTCCCTTTTTTGTAAGTTATGCTCAGTGAATGCATATACAATTTTCTGAAGGATATAAAAATAACCTACCTGTTCTATTTTCCTAACAATGATACTGTGAGAACAGAAAAAAACTTCTTTGAAAAAATAAAAGCTGCTGTACAGACATGAGGTGTTATCATATCATTGTTGTTCTTTATGAGAAAAGGCTGCCTTGATCTTGAGGAAATGAAGAAAGAATAGATTAACTGAAGATCCTGCATTGCTCCTGCTGCTATAGAAGGCTCACTCTTATTTATATTTATTAATTCAATCATAACTATTTTCATCTGTCTGTTCAGTACATTGCAAATTTCGCAGACCTACAGGCTTTTTTTTTTTTAAGTCCGTAAACAAGAAAATAGAAGAAACATTTTCTCTAGTGATGTGTAAATAGACATGGCTTCTAAATTTAAGGGAAATTTTCTTGGGATTTAAAGCTCATTTTCAAATTCCTGTTTTCTCTAAAATATGCCACAGGACCACACTGATATTAAAAATCTCTGTCCTACTTGGGAGTTGAGCACCAAGTTATTTGTAATCAAATAAAGATTATAGAAATATATTCTGATGTATATAGATTATTTGTATCAAGCAAATGAAAAAGATGTCTAGATAGTAGATTGCTTATTTTCAGTTACTACAGTTAAATCACAAGATATATGCACCACTGATCAAATCTATCACCTTTATGATTTAAGGAAGTATTTTCTTAAAGGATGTTGCTTTACATGCTGAATAAAATAAAGATTTATTTGGAAAGACAGAGTAGATCAGGATCATATCTCTGACTTGTTGGGGTTTTTTATTTTGATTTCTGAAATAGAAAACTTAGAAAGTTCTGAAAATTAATCTGGATCAGAAAGTGAAACAGTGAATTCAAATCAAGGGTAACACACCATCTTGATTTCCCCTTGAAGTTGTCCTGTCACTTGTAAAACACATTTAGCTTACTTCAGGCTCCCCATTTTTTTTTTCCCATTTATTTTTATTAGTTGGAGGCTAATTACTTCACAACATTTCAGTGGGTTTTGTCATACACTGACATGAATCAGCCATGGATTTACATGTGTTCCCCATCCCGATGCCCCCTCCCACCTCCCTCTCCACCCGATCCCTCTGGGTCTTCCCAGTGCACCAGGTCCGAGCACTTGTCTCATGCATCCAACCTGGGCTGGTGATCTGTTTCACCCTAGATAATATACATGCTGTTCTCTCGAAACATCCTACCCTCGCCTTCTCCCACAGAAGCAGGCAGTCTCCCCATTTTAATTGTTTCCAAAACGATTTTGTGATGGTACTATATAAGCAAACTATTTTTAAATTCCTTTTATCTTCTTTTCTTCTTTCAGATAGATACATGCATTCAGTCAACAAGCATTTATGAAGACCCTACTATGTGCTAGGGGCATTGCTCTGTTTTGTGATATGAAAATGAATGGAAACATGTATAGTTCGTCTTCAGTGCTGGCTTCAGAGGCATACAACCTATCTTTAGAAGAGGCCCACACTTGGCTTAATACTTGGCAGTTGCCATCTCCAAATTCTTAATTTCTGAACAAGGAACTTATATTTACATTTTGCCCTGGGCTCTCTAAATTAGGGAGCCAGCTCTGCCTCTGTAGTTAGAGTCAGTCATACATCCTGACATGTGAACAAATAAATTGCATGTTTGTTATAATTATTATGACTACCCAGAAAGAAAATGCCTAAGTTTGCTTTAGGAAACAGACAGCACTTCAAAAAAGAGTAACTCATTCAACAGTTACTGACTGAGCAACTGCTATCTGTTGGGCATTCTTCTAAATGCTAGAGACAGAGGATCAAGTAAAACAAAACAAACAAAAAAGTCATGAAGGTTACATTCAATTCAGTAGACCCAAATAACACATAAACAAAATTATGATATCAGATGGTGGGAAGTGCTATAGAGAAAAAATAAGTCAGGAAGTAGAATAAGGAGTGTTGGGGAATTAGGATGATTATAATTTGAGATAGGCTGTGCTCAGGTGGCCTCATGGAGAAAATGACTTCTGAGTGAAGAACCAAAAGAGATGAGAAGATAAGGGGAAAGAGTACTACAAGAAAGAGGAAACAAAATAGGAAGGGAGAGAGGACCTGTGACCTGTCTGTGCAAGTGAGCATGTTAAGCTCAAGGAAGGGCAAGGAAGCCAGAACGGGGAGAGTGGATGAGTGGGGAGACTGGAAGTCTGGGAGGCATGCAGGGAGTGAAATGGGAAGTGTATTGAGTGAAATGGGAAGCAACTGGCAGGGTTTGTCCAAGTTAAACCATCAGACATATTTTAATTGGAGCAGTCTTGTTGCCATATTGAAAATACACTTACAAGGCCCAAAAATGGAAGCGGGGAGAACAGATTGGATTTTATTTAATAATCCAAATAAGAGATGATAGTGGGTTTGGCCAGAGAGTGGACTTGGTGAGAGATGGTCAGATTCTGTACATGTTTTGTGGTAGAGTCATCAGAATTTGCCTGCAGCTTCAATGCAGAGATATGAGAAAAAAGAGGCGTCAAAGATGACTTAGCTGGAAGAATGGAGCAATCATATATAGAAATGGGGAAGACTGTGGTAAAAGCAAGTGTATTTTAACACTTAACACTTGAAAGCCCTACTAAAGTGATGTGTCTGCAGTCCACACTAGTCTGTAAGAAACTCAAGGCTAGGGATATTTGGAGTCTTTGCAACTCCAAAAGCTTGCTCATTACTTCACAATGTAGATGGTCAACAAAGGTTAATGATTTTTGGGGGGGTCAGATTACTTAGTATGCCACCAGTTAAAACCCCACTACTGGGAATTCCCTGGTGGTCCAGAGGTTAGGACTCCACGCTTCCATTGCAGGGGGCATGGGTTCCATCCCTGGTGTGGGGAACTAAGATCCTGCAGGTTGCATGGAGTGGCCAAAAACAATAAACAAAACAAGCAAACAAAAACCCTACTGCCCTCTTAGATTGTCTTACTCTGTAGTCAATGGTTTTGATTCCTTCCAGGAGGCTATCACAAGTATAATCTGTCCAAGTTTGTTTGGACAAATAAATAATAGTTGCTCATTTGGTTAGTCACTGCCACCTGCACCTCCTGTCTCCAAGGCACCCGAATGAGAGATGTTGGCAGAACAAAAACTTCTTTAACAGGATTCCACTGAAAGGAAATTTTAAAAGAACACAGACAGTTCTGTTTACTTAATGTTTGCAGTATTTGTTTAAATGCGAGTATGTCTTTATTTTCTCTCTGATTTTAAGGGAGTAATTCTTCAGGGACATGAGAGCCCAGGGCAAGAAGAAAACACAAAAGTCTAACATTTTCACTGGCATAAGACTACAAAAGAAAAAAAAACACTCTAAAATCTTTACACTACCTGTTACGTTTCATTATTTAACCTCCTTTATTTATTTTTCTTGTCTATTTTTCTTGTCTATTTTTCTTTTGAAGTCACCCATTAAATGAAAGAGGATAATGGCATATTTCCAGTAAATCTGTTAATATTCATTGAATTTAAATGGGCTTTAGTACCATATAAATGATAAAACCAAAAGCAGCAGAAGCTATTCCTTGACAAATCAAATTATCTGAAGATGAAGCTTTTGCTAGTATTCTGAATATTTGGAGCAAAAGTAAAAGGAAACATTTTTTTAAAAGAACATTTGTAACTTGAAAACAAAAGTGTGTAATAATCATTGTGGAAAATTACTAAAGCTTATTACTAATTGCATTCAAGTACAGTAGACATTCTCCTGAAGGTCTGAAAAGGTTTATGAAATTAAACATTCAGAACTGCTAAATTCTTTAATTAATAAAGTTTCACATTGTATTTCAGAAAAAAGTATGAAAGATACTAGATCAGAGAATAAGAATCTCTATAGTTTTTTTTAATTAGAAAATTGGTTTACTATGTAAATGTATGTGTATAAATATCATTTGAATTATTATATGCAGAAGAATTAGAAAGAAGATACTATATGAAAAAAAGTCATTTCAATATTCTACAGTATAGAAAATTTACCCACACATAGTGTGGGTAAATCAGATTTTATAACTGATATTCTAATGTAAGTTGTTTACTATTAATTCATTTATTTTATTTCACTCCAGAGGATATGTTATTTTTTTTTCATTTTGAAATGTATTTCATTATTATTGAAAAATCAAACACAAAGTATTGGGAAAGAGTGAAACAACAACATCAAATTTAACAACCAAATGAGCAACTTTCACATTGTACTAAGTATATCACTGGGCTTCCCTGGTGGCTCAGATGGTAAAGAATCTGCCTGCAGTGAGGGAGACCTGGGTTTGATCCCTGGGTTGGGAAGATCCCTGGAGGAGGAAATGGCTACCCACTCCCTATTCTTGCCTGGAGAATCCCCACGGGTGGAGGAGCCTGGTGGGCTATGGTCACAAAGAGTCGGATGCGACTGAGCAATTAAGCACACAGCATATCACTATCTGTTGTTGTTGTTTATTTGCTGGGTCATGTCCAACTCTTCTTCGACTCATGGACTGTAGCCCAGCAGGCTCCTCTGTCCATGGGATTTCCCAGGCAAAATACTAGGGTGGGTTGCCATTTCCTTCTCCAGGGGATCTTCCCAACCCAGGGATCACACTCGAGACTCCTGAATTGGCAGGTGGATTCTTTATCACTGAGTCCCCAGGGACACCCATATCACTATTTAATGTGTCTAAATACCACTGAATGAAAAATGGCCGGCATGTCATGGGGCCACAAATTTAAATCTATTGAGATTATAATAATTTCTTCTCTGTTAAAAAATACATGTTTTGAAAGGTCTGGAGTACTTATATGAAAAAATTTGGTAAACATTACCGACAACTTCAAAATGAGTTACAAACAAAATAGTCCCAACATTGACAGTATTATTTTCAAGTGTCTATGATATAAAGATACTGAGTTTTAGTGTATATTTGTATGTCTATTGATGTTTGAGATTCTGGTGTAAAGACATTTTCTTTCAAATCCAACCTGCCTGGACTATTCCTAGATATAACTGTGCATTAGTAATACTTACTAAACAAAAGAAACAGATAACCTTGCATCCCATCATATCAATTTATTACAAATATTATTATATGATATTTATCATATCACATATTCATCCATATTCATTAAAATATTGTCCACATCATTTTTCCATCTTTCAGTTTTGGTCTGTTTTAAAGCCAATCAACCCTTTTTTCTATACTATTTCTGATTTTTCCATTTAGTCTATAGACACTGTGTCAGAAGTGAACTTTTCATCAGAAAATTCAACTCTTTCAGAAATATTACCTGTCTTTATTTTCTCTAAATTAAAATCTACAAGCCCCAGCATTACAACCATAGCTGGTGGGCCTTCTCTTTCCCTAGGTTTCTATATGGAAATTCATGTGTTACCATGAGGATGAAACCAAGAGTCCTCTCATTTTTCTGAGCATATGGGTTTCTTTAAGCTC